GATGCCTACCACGAGCGTTTCAAGAGTACGGGTCAAATATGCTTATCGCCTGATCTGCATCAAAGTTCGAACATTAAACGCTGCGAGGATAAATGGAGAATCAGGTCGAAGAAGAGCTGGAGCTTCGGTGGAGTGAGAGGCGGTTGCGATCGCAGGACATTTAAAACCGAAAGTTTGGCTGTTACTTCCAGTTGCGAGACGTGGGTCGTTTGTGACGGTGACCGAAGAAAACATAAGAGTACATCTAAGTGAAGGACAAGATGGAGTGATCTGTGAGTGGAGGTTGAGCAGTTGAGTTAGCATAGCCCCTGCTCCCGGACCTCTTCCTACTCAGGTGATGCAGGACATGCCATGGACGGTTAGTTTAGAGCCTCCTTCGGAGGCCGAGGTCCGAAAATCGATCACAGCCCTCAATCGTTTTCGTGCCGATGGCCCGGACTCCCTCCCACCTGCACTATTTAAGGATGGAGGTGAGGTCCTCTGCAAAGCACTGACCTCCCCATTCGAACGTATCTGGAACGAAGAGAGTGTGCCGCCTAATTGGAGCGAATCGATTATAGTGGCAATATAAAAAGGGCAGTCGCACAGACTGTGCGAACCACAGGGGTATTAGCCTAACGCCAGTTGTGACAAAATTACTGGCCTCGATTATCGTTCGTCGCCTCACTGCAGAACGGGAATCTCGGATTAGGGAAGAGCAGGCCGGTTTTCGCCCAGGACGTGGCTGTATAGACCATATATTCACTTTGCGGCAGGTGCTAGAGCAGCGCCACGCATACCGCAGACCGACAATAGCTGTGTTCCTGGATTTCAAGAGTGCGTTCGATTCGGTCGATCGATCGATTCTGTTCGAAATACTTGCGCGGAAAGGTGTTCCCACGAAATATGTGAACATCCTTCGTGCTCTATACTCGAACACTACAGGCCGCGTCAGGGTCTATTGTGTCCCACCGGATAGCTTTTCGACTACAAGTTGCGTTCGTCAGCGTTGTCCGATTTCCCCGTTTCTGTTCAATTTCATCGTGGATTCTATCATGGAGTGTTCCCTAACGGAATCCAACGATGCAGGCGTTGAAGTGCTGCCTGGTGAAAGGTTACTTGCTTTTCGACGATGTTGCGGCGGCACAATCAACCCTGAATACCCTGTCCAGAGTGGTCCCATTATTTGGTATGCACTTCGCACCTTCAAAGTGCAAAGTGTTGCTGCAGGATCACCAGCCACTTGATGACCCCTTGACGCTTGCTAACGAGGAACTCGAAGTGGTTGATCATTTCACTTATGTTGGCAGCTGCAACAGCAATGATGGGCGCATAGAAACTAACGTGAGCTCACGCATTGCAAAGGCCAGAGCTGCCTTCTTGTACCTGCGGCATCTTTAGCGACAGAAGGGAGTTTCCCTCCGTCTGAAGGGCCGGGTATACAAGGCCACAGTGAGGGCCGTTCTGCTCTATGGTAGTGAGACTTGGCCGCTTCGGTCTAAAAATCTGAGGCGCCTTCAAGTCTTTGATCATCGTTGTTTGCGAAGCATTGCTGGTGTCGGATGGCACCTAGGAGGGCCTTGTTCAGTCTACCAGGCGTAGGATGGCGCAAGGCTCGAGGTGGACAGAAGTTGACTTGGCAGCGGGAAATGAAGTCACTTACAACCAAACTGGGTGCCGTTGGTCCGTCTCGCCTTCCGGGCTGGAGTCCACGTGACTCACCTTGTGCTTGGCTCGAGACTTTACAGGACATGGCTCGCAACCGACACCAGTGGCGCGTCTGCTGCCGTCTCCTAATCGGATTGCCTGTTTAAAGTATGCTTGATGCTGAGTTATCTGCGGGATAATGGCTGATTATGACGCGGGGCAGTGAAAGCCGCAAGGAAGCTGTCTCGCCGATGCCGCCTTATCTTTGCACGATAGCCAGCTGTTTGTGACGGTATGTTGTCTACACAAGGTGTAGGCGCCTTGACCCAGAATGTTTGCTAAGGTTTTCAGGTAAGTCCCCCTTCTCTCCCTCTTATTCTTTATTCCATAGGTCCTCATGGTTGTATGGCAGCGAAGCATCAGTTCAAATGGCTGATGCACTGCTGTTGATGATGATGAATTAGCATAGAAGATAAGTATATCAAGAGCATAGGTAAGCATTGTGATCCATGGTTCGTCAGTGGGCGTGATACTACCCGGTTGCCCAGGCCGAAGTAAAGGGTTATCTTAGGGGGCCCTACCCCGAGTCTTTGATTAAACATCTAACCTACAAGGCAGCGGTGCGATGTGTGGACGTCGCAACCAGTTGGAAGCCGATGACCAAATAGATGGTTTATGCGCCTTTCGGTCCGTGAAGGACCAGGGGCCCAACGCACCTTTGAAGTATAATGCCTCTCAGTGGACGCAGATCAAAGATGCCTTATTTTCCCCAGTATCGATACATGTGGAGTTGCCCGTCACTCACCAAAGCATTGGATTTTCGCCATCTGCTTGTCGCTGATAGACAAACGCCGTTTGATTTCGTCGGATTCCAGACAAAGTGAAGAACGCCAATGCCTGGGTCGAGAGTTGCGCAGGAGTCTGCAAATGGACCGCGAAGCTTGGTGGTGTGAATGTGCTAGGGCGATGGAGCTTGCCAGTCTCTCTGGTAATACTAAGAAACTCTTCCATCTCATTCGAGTCTTCGAAAGTGTTCGATCTGGTATAAGTGAAACAATATGCGAAGAGGATGACACCTTAATCACCAATCTTCAACGACGGTTTAAGCGATGGGCCGAACACTGGCTCGCAGTCTTGTTGGCCCCCAGCTCCATCTGCTACCACTGGCGCTCACGCTGGGGCCGAGTGGTCTACTCCCACAGATCCTCCATCTAACCAGGAACTCGAGCAAGAGCTCCAGCACATGAAGCGTTATAAAGCCCCCGGCCCTGATGGTCTTCCTCTAGTTCTATTTAAAGATGGTGGCGTTTCGCTGATCCGAGAACTCACCGCTTTGTTCTCGAAAGTTTGGTCGAAAGAGAAAGTTCCATCATCTTGGGATGAATCGATAGTCGTCCCCATCTTCAAGAAGGGCCTGCGCACAATCTGCTCCAACTACAGAGACATAAGCTTAGTCACCGTCGTTTGCAACCTGCTGGTGTCCATCATACTTCGCAGTCTATCCCCAACGCAGGAATCGCTGCAGCGAGAAAAACAAGCTAGGTTTCGCCCTGGTCGCGGCTGCATCGATCAAATCTTCACACTCCGTCAGATCCTCGAGCTACGCCATGTGTATCGGAGACCAACGGTTGCTGTGTTCTCGGATTTCCGTGCAGCCTTCCATTCTGTCGATCGGACGATACTGTGGCACTGCCTGCTGAGGAATGGCGCTCTCTATAATCTGAAGTAGGGCAGGGTTATGGATTATGGCAAGCTTTAGCCTTCCTTTGCGGTCTCAAGTGGAGTTCGACAAGGATGCCCTATCTCTCCGTTCCTCGCAACTTTGTCATCAAGGGTGTCCTAAAGAACGCTCTGGACGCATTATTGAACGCTGGCGTTGAGCTCCACCCAGGTAGTCGAGTTGTTGATTTGAATTATGCTGATCATATCGTCTTGTCCAACTTGCACTAAACCGTATGGCGATTGAAGCATCAAAGTATGGTATGTACTTTTCGCCATCCAAATGCAAGGCTCGCTTTCAAAACTGGCAGGTGCCTGCACTCACTCTTGGTGGTGAGACACTAGAGGTTGTGGAGAGCTATGTCTACTTGAGAAGTTGCATCACTGCTAGCGGGGCTGTTGGATACGAGATTTCGGTGCGCCTCTCGAGAGCACGCCTCGCTTTTTCTAGACTGGCACTTGTGGCGTCGCCACGACATTCGTCTATTCAACAAAGGGCGGGTCTATTGTGCAACTGTTCGTAGTGCTGTACGGATGCGAGACCTGGCCCATTCTTGAAGATGACTTGCGCAGGCTATCCGTCTTCGAGCACCGCTGTCTGCGGTCCATTGCCCGTGTGTTGTGGCGGCACCATGTAAGCACTGTGGAAGTTAGACAGCGTGTCTTGGGACGTGGAAGCCGCTCGCTCGAGGAGCTCATCTCATTGCATCAACTGCGGTGGCTGGGATATGTATAACACATGCCTGTCCAGCGTTATCCGCGTCATGCGTTGTTTGCGGTTGCTGGACAGGGCTGGAAGAGTCTGGTGGACAGCCTGCAACTTAAAGACCCCTTCATGAAGAAGCTGACGAGATTGTTGGCCTCGGCCGGTTGTTGTCGACTACCTGGTTGGAATCCGAGACAAGCGGGTACTTGCTGGTTGAAGACCTTGGAAGCCATGGCTCAAGATCGATGCCAGTGGTGGACGTGTGCATCGATGTACCTGTTCCCCACCCCCCAAAAAAATTCAATAACTGTGAGGAGCAAAGTGGTCAGAAAGCATTTGTTGTTGTTATTTTCTTATTATTCATACTGTTTTCCTATTCTGCCATGTTTCCGACGGTACAATATTCGTACCACAGATTGCGTACACATATACTTAGCGCATTCAAAGTGAGAATACTCTGAGGAATCTGCATGAAAGTGCGGGTAAAGCTTCTCATCTCCTGGCCGTCTTTCCTAAACGGATATATATATATATATATATGAGAAGTCCTACCCGCACTTTCATGCAGATTCCTCAAAGTATTCTCACTTTGAATGCACTATTCAAACTTACAGTTTCCATAGGTGTGACATCTCTGAACTGGGGCGGTAACAAACGTGAGCGGCGGCATCGTCATCCATAGCATTAAAGATTGACTAGTTGGTTTATACAAATAAAAACTGCGTAGTGTTTTAATAACTACGTGCCACATGCTGCGTTAACCCTATTCAAGATTCACCAACCTATTGTGGCCTAGCTACATCAAACCGAAAGGTGGTAACGTAGCTTCCTATCCAATACATTGTATCGGTAGCACTCAGCTTGAAGGAATTGGTAGTACGTATTGTGATAGGCAAAGATGTCAGACGATGACAAGCTGACGGGAACATGATCAAAGTAGAAACCGGTTGGTGCATTTTTAGGTTGTTTATAATAATGTACTAGTGTATTTAACAGATTCAAATGAATTAAAAGCAAAAGGGAAGTAGAGAAAAAATACCACATTGCAGCCTGGGTGAACGGATACAGATCGGAAGATGCGAGGAATGTTGAAAGAGCGCCATTAGATTTCCGCATGCTGGAGTCATGGAACGGCAACAACAGACGAATGTTGAAAAACAAATGACAATAAATAATACAGCAAAATAAATAAAAGTGGAATGAATCGTTCTGAAGAAGTTACCAAGGAATACAGAGGAAAAATGCGAAGACCGAAGAAAATCTGGTGGAGGTTGCCGGGCTACTTTGAAACCAGGACGGGGTAAATCGAAGCAACGGCGCATCGGAATTTAAAGGGATAACTGTTTTTATGTATTCCAAGTTCTATGCATGGTTGGCTTGTCGTTACCAGGTGGTTTTTGGCGCTGAGGCAGGGATTGTGGAGCTGGAGGCACCGGAGTTACCCGAGCTGGAATGGAGGGCAAGAACTGGGGAAAAATGAGATGGAGTGTTGATTAGATAACAACAAATCGAATAGGTAATTGTGAAAAAGAATCGCACCCGTTGCAGGTGGCCGTGCGAAACCGCCATCCAACTCTCTTCGGGATGGAAAATGGGAGGCAGATGTCGACCGAAATGCGTGCAAAACATTAGAGGATGGAATGAAAGAGCGGGTGCCATACACATTAGCAGGGCAGTTGATATTTAAGAATATATAAAACCCTTGACATCGGTTGCCAGGACATGATGGTACATTATCAGGCGTCTACATCACATGAATAGTGACTACAGCTTATTGTGCTGAGCAAAGCGAAGCATCACACAACGAGTGCCGCTAAGGTTGAGTGAGTCACGACAATATAGCAAGTGTCCGGACAACTTGAAGGATTGCGGCTCTCGGACGTTACTGCCACGCAAAGTGACGAGGGCATGTGTGCTCGCGGGTGGATCGATACGGGGCTCAAAGGTAGGGGGCACGTGGCTTATCACCGATGAATCAAGAATGAGTTATATGCGCAAAGAACGAGTGAAAGAGCTTGACAGATTCGTAGTCCAAACCGCGAGTACCGTACCGAATATAAGCCAATATTTTTTGGAGTTTTCGTTGCTGTAGAGTGGGGGTCGGCTTATAAAAAGGCTAATACGGAATTTCAAAAGTCATATGCCCTTGTCTCCCCCTAGCACCACCCGCAAGTGACGAATGGCATTCCAGACGGAGATTTGAAGTGCTTATAACTGGACACGTTACTTTCGTATGGAAAATTCTTGGTATATTACACATTTGACGTTCGCCACGGACGGCAGTAGCGAATCAAAAGCCCAGGCGATCCAGTGCCTTAAAGTACAACTTTGTCCCACACCCCTGATCGCGAACTTCGCTCTCACCCATTGCTCTACTTGTTCATATGTATGAGGCCCCCGACTATGCGAGGCGGCCTGTCTGACACCCTTTCACCTTACTCCATATTGTCGGCTGCCTTACCTATTTCATGTGACTTGACGTCTGCTTAAGGGTCGGCTAATATAGGGACTTATGACTTCGGACAAAATTGATGTTGCAAAGTTATACTGTCGGTTTATCTGTGGATGGGCTTATATTCGGTAATATACGGTAGATTTAATCTGTTGTCCTTTGAGTTTCGGGCCGGATTGCTATTTCGACACTTCGTGACTTGTCAGCAAGATGCATTTCTTTGATCTAGTGGGAGCGAATGAAACAGTGTGACTTGACACTTTGAAAGCAAATTGCCTCCAAGTCACGCTAAAGATCAGCAACCGTTGCGATGAAAGGATTACTCTGTGCGCGCAGCAGAATGTGCAAGTCGGAAGACTGGGTAGCACCATACTAAAACTAATTACTTGGATAGTCGGCTGTTGGCTGGGAAGGTGAAATAAGATAAGAATCTGTGTCACAGATGAAGAACGACTAAAAGTTACTCTGAACCTGTAACTGCATTTTTAAGAGTCTCACTATCAAGACAGTTGTGCAAAGCACTTAAACCCTAAAGCAAAACACATGATAAAAGCTTCACAAACAGATGCCGATTTATCCAAGATTGCTGGCAGGTCTGTAGAACGCACCAACTGAAAAACGTTTGCAACCGTATATGAAGTAGAAGCCTTACATCTTGGATTTTTGGTCTGTGAGGCGTGAGCTGTAGTTCGACAAACAGGCAGCGGAAAAAGTGAGATGCCTGCGTATGACAATGTTCGGTGCGATCAAACATGGTTACAGCTCAATGTGGGATTTTTGTCTCCGCGAATTAGGTAAGTAGAACGCGCGCGTACCCAAACAAAACCTTGTCTATCTCCCACGATGACAACGTTCGCTGTCGGGATATATTCTCGCTGAGAATACTGCACTACTCTTGTTGAAAAGGTAAACCCACAAAAGTTCGAAACAGTCCACAAAGGAACCACACCTAGAATGTGGAGAATTTAAACAATGACCTAACTGCCCAAGTGATTCAATTCTATGGAATAAAGATTGTCACGACTAATCCAACGGATGAGGTAAAGGCTGGACCAACAGTCTATGCATCGGGCATCCTTATCGCCACCAATGGCTTTTTGTGTTTCATTGAATATGAGACCGCTCGTGGGACAACTGTTACAGGGCCGATAGCCATAAACAAAGAGGTTGAGATCGACACAATATATGGATAAATTACCATTAACTATATCCGATAAAAAAGGTCCGACTACAACTGCCCGTGATCGTCAAGATCCCGAGGTCAAGGAACCTGAAGCACCTGAGCATGAACAACCATGTTAAGAACGCCTGTAGACGCTGCACGAGAAAAACTCAGATAAACTCACTGTTGCATCTGGCCGGTATCGGCGGCACATGTCAGTGAAGCACGTCGAAAGGGGCGAGTAAACAGGGTGAACGCGCAAGATATAGGAGTGTGCGAAAAGAAAGGGTCGAGCTCAACTATCGGCTGAATATTACTCGATGAAAACTCGCCACTTGATGACTTCGCTACTGCTACGATATCATAACGACAGAGATTCAAACTGAGCGAACATGAAACTAAGGCATGTCTGGAAGCAGTAGCAAGAAAAAGCTTCTAACCATGAAGGCGAGGTCTAGTTCAGGTGCATACTTGTGCTGCTTTTATGAGAAAAACAATGAATAACAATGCGAATCATGCAAGTCTTCATCTGTTCATCTATGACGGACCTGGGGAGAGCATCAACCATCAAACGAAAACGGTTTAAGCCATAGCATTAAGGAAGGGTATAGAAAAACGGAAAACAGCCCGTTCAATTTTAGTGCACGTTGAGGTATGCGGTACTGGTGGATTCTCATTGCATCCACTAAAAAGGGTGTCAGCGAATAAACTGGTACTTCTGATGAGCATTTGGTGTCATCTCTAGCCAATTGGCCTGTGTGAACGTGTTAGCATCCCTATGAATAGGGTACACTGATAAACAGTTCAGACTAGTGGGGTTGCGGTCGATCAGAGTCCAACGTATAGTATTATCACGAGGACAAGAGCAAGCAACTGTAGGAAAAGCGCAAATTAAATAAAGGACAAGAAAAAGAGCGATGGGATGGAAAAGCTAATAAGTGCCATTGATCCAACGACCGCGGTAGTAATGTGAACTCGATCAGCAGCCACGAACCGGTCTTTCTGGCGACTTTTCCGTACTTCTTCGCCACGCCAAAGGCGGATCACTTCATAGTCTCAACAAAAAGGCGTAACGGTAGCAAAAACAACACACTCCTATGCAAATAGTCGGTAGACGACCGATAGGTATGATTACATCAGTGTACGCCATTCGTTCGAGATCACTGCAGTTCGAGAAATCAGCGCTACGGCGGCACACACCGTACCGACGCTTCGCTAACACGCGGCCACCAGTGTTGGTCGCGCGTGTGCTGCGAGGTCACTCGCAGATTCGAACCAGTGACCATTGGATTGCAAAACGCGCACCTTACCCTTTGGACGGCCGATGCGGAGCAGCAGATGGTTTTTTGTCAAACTCTAGACGGGGGATTCATTATAGCCCCATTCATTGCTCTCATTAGTCATGAGCAATAGTCCATAGGTAACGGTGATTAAAGAATATCAATTTCATAAAGTCATCGACGCGCATTAGATACGTCACTGAGTGATAAGGCAACAGCACCGATACTGCAGTGTCGTACACCTTGCCTCCGTACACGACTGAAGGCTGGAAAGCCACGGAGGCCATAGTGATACGCTTTCGATGGCTTGACTTGATTCGGCTACCCACGCTCATTACAGCAGGATGGACTTCAATGAGGTGTGAGGACTAGCGTCTCTAAGTTGGAAATTAAGCAGCGCCGGGTGGCACTTTCCAAGTGCTCGTAGAACCTAATGCCAACAAAGACAGCAGTGGTACATCGGTACTTAATACTGATGCTTGGTTGCCATAGATGCACCACGATATTGTGATGAGGAATAATAATAATAATGTGGGATCTAAATGTCCCAAGCCGATATTCAGAGTTAATGTATATAAATAAACCTTGTCAATGATGAAAAGTCACCATTAACTGATTATGAGGAAAATATAAGAAAGTATCGGGGAGAAGACTCTCCTGCGGCTATCACCGCTGTTTTAACCAACAACACTCCACACAGATGACTCGATATCAAACACAGAGACTAAAGAGGCAAGCCAGTGAGGATGGGAAAGCAGGAAATAGGCACAGGCATCGGTTGTCATCCATCCAACCGCAGGGTTTCGAGCCCATGGGCATGGGAAGGCATCGCAAAGCCCCTGACCTAGAAGGTGGGACAGACCGAGATCCAGGCTACTGGGCATCAAGTTCATTCAGTACCTCCTAATCAACAAATGCTTTATCGGGTTTTGTTCATTCACAACCGGATGAAGGAAACAAACCTATTCTCAACAAGTGGTGAGCTGGTGTATGTAGCAGATGTCCGAATCTATGTGACTCGTTCCGTTTTACTGAACTGAGGGCACCAGCAGTACGCCGGTACGCAGTACCGACGCTTGGCTACCGTGCAACCACCACCGATCACAGATGGGCTAAGGATACTGCGAGGGTCGCCCTACCCTTACGCAGACTCGAACCCGCACCGTCAGATTACCAGACAAGCTCTTTACCTTTAGGCTACGGGCCAGTTCTGAACTGCATGATGACTTGCTCCGTCTCGCTCGGAGCTACGGTCCCTGGTATATGAGCAGCAAGATGGTGTGAATCCGTCGCCACACTGAGGACGTTTAAACATATAATGCTGGACATAAATCAGAGGAAACTGAAATAGAAGAGCTCATCAAGGAGGAAATCGGTGGAAAGCAAGGATGGGGAATGGAGATAACGGGAGAGCATTGAAAGTAGTGCCACAACACAACCTTCCAACAAATAAACTAGTAGGAGATAAATGCAGCGGATACATACAAGAGACGTCTAACACTCCAAAAGTAAATGTCTATCAAAAAATCTCGATGAAACGCACTCACGTCGATTAAAGGTGCGTCAGGGTCCGAGATGGTGAATGGGGCAGGCCGCTGAGTCACAAGATCGCTCCTCGCTAAACTGAATGGGTCCTCCGAAAGCCTGGAGAACGTCACCGAAGTGGGCGAGAGAAAGAAATAAAGATGGATGAATATGGGAAGCCGTCACCTAGTGTGAAAGTAATTCCAATATGGTGTACCGATGAGAAATATACGTGAATGATGGAAAAACTCATTCACGAAAATAACAAAAGATTAGGGAACGATGATAGACGGTGGAATGAAATGAGACATGCTGTGTTGAAAACGAGATGGGATGCTGGCTAGGATATTCAAGACGCGCGACACAAGTGCGAAAGAGTAAAGCCAAGTAACCTTCGCGAAAACGTAGTAGTAGTTCAGCAAACATGCAGCAAGCGACTGCGGCCGAAAGTAGAACTTTACACATGTATCCGATTCAGACGATCATTTAAAAATATCCAACGACTCGAATGGCATCTCGTGGGCACTTGTAAACCATTCTGGACAACTGATATGCCCAACATCGAAGCCAATATTTGCCAACCATTCAATGGCTAGAGCGGAAATGCTGGGTTTAAATGTTGAGCTAGAAGCGAACTACAAGTTTCTTGATTGGCTAGGAAACTGCGCATAGACAGAGCTAAGGAATAGCGACTAAAGTCCTTGCATTCGTTTCATTGCTACAACCCGGCGCAACTTGATTTTTGAAAGCAAAAGTCGTACTCCATCCGAGTACCAAGCATAAGCGTTACATCGATATATCACATAGTTAACGGTAGTTGATACCTTCTTGTTCCATTAAGACTGTACACATTTACGCAAACAGAGCACTGGCAGATAGTTGAGGAATGTGAATTCAGCCATAAAACTATGAGCGAGATTCCTCAAAGTAAAAGAACCGCGATGCCTTGCGTGATCCGTCAAAGTTATCACCAGCTCACTTGTGACTGTGGTGGCGAACTCACAAACGTGTCCAGCTTATTGTAACGGGGAATACCTAAGCGTTAACACATGTAGTAGTGACCGCAAATAGTGATTATATCTGCCGCCATTTGGCTGATTTTTCGCAACTGTTCAAATCAATTCTGTGTGGCAATGTAGAAAAAACTGCGCTGCCGGGAAGATGAAAAAATACCAGCTTTCAAGCCAACAGAGTGGGTTTGCAGTACTGTTTCCCTAACGAGGAAAACGTGGGACAAAATACACGTGTCACCAAGCATTATCCAAATGGTACAACTAAAAAGATGGGTGCTCACAATCAGTGTGCAGTGGCTGCGTCCCACTGGTTTTGAGGACCGATACTTGGAAGCCAGAGTAGGCGCAGAACATACTCCATACAGAATAAAAGTGACAACGAAGACAGCCTGATGAGAGAGATGTCAGTACGCAGGACACAAATGAATGCTGCGATGCCGATGCTCGCGAAGCCAAATAAAGAAGGTAGCTCATAAAAACCAATTTCACGTTGTAAAACAAAAAATTACGAGGAAATACCCAATAACCCAAACGGGTGGTGGGCACGTATAGGTAACGAGCAGGACCAAGTGCAGGTTACCCCAATAGCGCAATAATGGAGCAAAGCCCAGAAAAACCAAAGGATTTATGACGGCTATGTGAGGAACCCAAGCACGAAAGATGGAAGGTTATGTGAACGGACCACAGCGCGGACTGACTGGCGAGCGTATGAACGAAAAATCCGCGTTCCTAACACAGCAAGATGCGAAGTAAAGTAAGGAAGGGGCGCTTACAGTGAATACACAACGTCTGATTGAGTGGGATCGTCGCCCAAGGATTCTGCAACGAATGATGGTGCTGGTAGCGGACGTGGAGGAAGAGGTGGGGGTTGTCCACTCAACGTAGGCTGAACTGGTCGACCGACGCATGACTCTGAAGAAACCGTTTTCATTAAGTTGCTTGACGACAGGGGCCGTTGAAGCGAACAACCGGCAAACGTGGAGGTGTCCTCCTCAATGCTCAGTAGGTCGAGACAACTGCTCACCGCATGAATATCATTGGCTTCAGTGACAGGTAAACCGCTTGACCCACTAGACGGCACTGGTGAAGCACTGTTTGAACCGGGAATAGTAATCAGATTGTCTGATGATAAAGAATCCGGCATGTTTTGAGTTGAGAAACCTTCGAAAGGATGGGTGACACCGACAAGATCGGAATCCATACGATCGGTGATATTTGGAGCAGGTGGCCGCCTTGGAGGAGGAGCAGGTCGTGGGGGTATCGGACGGGCTGGTGCGGCTGGTGTGAGGAGTAAACAATTCATTGATATAGAAAAGGATGTCGAAAATATAGTAGACGAAGGTAATAGGGAAATTTTTATTTCGAGCAAAACGCAGTGAACGAGGTAGATAAGACATATTGATTGCACCCAGCATGACGGAGTATGGAATAACGAGCAGCCAGACTAGCATTCCCGAACGCATGGTTTTTGAATCAAAGTACACAAGAATACACAAAGAGATTGTATAAAAATATTTCTCAACAAATGGATGATGCCGAACCAATGCAACGTTAAATTTGCACCTATTTGCACAACTACAATCTGATGCATATCGACAGATGGCAATTGTTAGATACCAAACAGAGACAACGCCATAGTTACACACATCCCGTCATAAGTGAACGGATTTAAAATCGCAGCTGATCTCGGCTTCTTCATGAGAGGAATTTTAACTTAATGGACGCAGAGAATGTCAAGAAAAATAGTCCAAGTTAGGCGAGAATTAAAACGAAAAGGTGGAAAGGACACACGAATGGGATGCAGGATATACGTCGGAAAATGTGCGGCGGCGGGTTCTGGTGACCGTGTTTGTAAGCTTGTTTAGCAGCGGAAGAACAACCTCGGCAGAGGTTGTGTCGGCTTGACCCAGCTGAATTAGAATGCGAGTGTTGGAACAGGGAGGATCAATTTACCTCGAATTAAGGTACAGTGACGACAAAATATGAGGGAAAGGAGAGCGGCGAGAACATCAAAGGAGTAGAGAGAAAAGTGAGGGAAGTCACATGGAACGGTTGACAGAAACGAGGGATAGAACACAAAAGCAGTGCTAAAACCGAGACTGCGCTATTTGGGACAAAATGTCTGAATAATTTAATCAGGTCGATTCCGAGGCCAGTACCCAGAAGGACGATAAGCACCAGAATGACGAAGTGTTTCGGCCAATCTCCTCATGCCTGATCGTTGGCATCGGTTAGTTAGAATGGAGATTCACAATGCCAGGTGTAATATTGTCAATCCATACATGCCGAGATTGCCGATGAGCTAGCATGTGAAGGAAACCACTAATCCCACGCAGTTGGCTCATATTCTGTGGGCTATGGTTAGCATAAAACGCATACTCCAGCACCACTCATTCAGCGCCCTCACTAGATGAGTGGATGTTTCGCAGGTGCAGGTGATCAACGACAATTAGTCTGTTAATGCACTCAATGAACCATCATGCGGGTGCTGATACGCACAGTGAGATAAACCCCACTTCGATGTTATGCATTGAATTCCTAACCGATAGACCGTGATCCTATCGCTCTGATAAGCGACTGATGTGTTGAAAGTCCACACAGACCTTGCCGGCAGGTGCAGTACCTATTCAGTGATACGATTTCCAGGGAATGTAAAAATCAAGCATAATGAACCTCAGCAGTCGAGTGGCGATGATGAGAAATAGTAACGTGTCAGCGCCCTGAAGATGTTGGGACCAGCGTAACAGTCTGCATCAGTGCATTCTGCCACAACAGAAGGGACGCAGCGTCCGATTTCACTGACAACGAAAGTAGTGGGTTCAGGCCACTCGAGTAACTTCGGTGATATTCTGGGTAGACTGTAGCTTCTACAGAAAGGCTGAACTTCATGTACAAACTGAATGACACAAGGGAAGATAACGTGTTCATCCTGCTCAGCTAACATAAAACGCAAAGATGTTTCTCTGAGACCTAATGGACGGATAAGGCAGAAAAGGACTCAGCTCAAAATTGTACCGACTACCTGCATCACAAAGGTTGTTACCATTCATCAAACCGTTATCAATCCTTAGCCAATGATGAGAACTTTCCTCGAGAAACTGCGATAGATTTAAACTACAAGCGAGACAGTCGCATGTGACTCATTAGATTTAATCTAAACCAACCGATAAATGCAAGGTATTTCCTAAGCGGACAAGTGGATTCATGACTCCGTAGCATCCGGTTGATGCGGTGTTTCGTTCGGTTCAGTCGAACAGCTACGAAGCAGTTTACATGACACGTATAACAAGAATAATAATGATAATTAACCATGGTAAGGAAAAGGATGCATAGAAAAGGAATTGGAAAATGGGTAAATTAATCGCGATGGAATATCAACACAGTCAGATGCGCGGGACCGTACGCAGAAGTATCACTGAGTGAGCTACTGTGATGCGTCAGATAGTCCCCAGTCACTGAAGTTGCATATCTCGAAGTTCCCTGTCCACGAAGACGACATACACAAGTTTAAGCAGGTTTTTCAAGCCATTTTCTCACATAATGCCTTTATGACACACCAACCGATCACCTAGCAGTTTCGCCAAATTGATGCAGCGACAGCATGTAATATAGTCCAGGAAGGCGGTCAATGGGCATACAGAAGACACAGTCTAACCAACCTAAGGGGCTCAACTTTAACCGACGCTGCAGTGAGTAGTTTCTTGCCAAACATCCATTGGTGGACTCCAGTATGTCTAACTCGAAGGTTGCACCAGATATGAGGTATGCATCACAAGCATCAGTGAGCCGATATGATGTCTTCGGTAGGAAGTGGCTACGAGTCTGAATCGGGGTTGTGCACTCTGACGTTGACTAGTAACGGGAAGGATTCCCACTGTTTTCGTGAATAATTTGGAGCTTGTATTCTGTACGTTTGGAATTCCAGCTCTTGCTCTCGCATGGATTTGGAATCTTCTGTCAGTGCGCAATCGTATGCAATTGCATGACAGCTAGACACAAACATGTAACATTGATGTACTGGTAAGACCTTCCTTTGGACTTCGCAAGCCATACGGATTTTGCGAAAACGATGGGACCACCAGTGGTGACGCAACCAGTAAGATGAGCGAACCGATCGATCACCTCAGGTAGCTGCTCAGTGACAGGTAAAGTGGTGTCAACCAAGTCCCGTAACAGTGTTGTGCACTTTGAGGGCACAAAATACATATCAAAGCGAGCTATTTAGTAATGCTTACCTGGTCCACCTATTCCGCACTCTGGTGATGGATAGCGTGAAAATTTGCATTACACCGATGCACTGCGGGTGGTCAACTAAAGTGAGATGTACAAATAGCCCTGAGGTAGTGTGTATCCATAGAATGGTAGGATTCAGCTACAAACAGATGTATAGGAATAGTCAGTGTCGAGACAAGTGCAACAAAACAGATGTGACAATACTAGGCCGATATGTGCCACCCATAGCGGATAACGAAGTGGTGAATCCGAGTCAACCAATAACAGTGCGTGGTCATCAGAGCAGCCGATGAGAGCGAATGGCAACCTCTAGCAATTTCCGGTGTCGAAAAGACATACAGGGAGGTCATTAACTAAATAGTACGATCAGGCCCGTTGTTGTTGTATCGCTGGATCGTATGGAAGGACCTTGGCGAGACCATCCTTTTTGAATTAGAGTTTCGTTGAACCATGGTACCGCAATAATGGTCTCGTCTTACCTGAGTTAACAGCAAGAACATGATTGGCGACATCCGGTTCCGGAGTTGTCTGTCACTGCGACCTCCATAGGACGGATACAGGACGCCTACACCTGCAGAGGGACCGTAGGTGACTTGCGCTGCATCACCCACACCCTATATGCAGTGTAAACTTAAAGGGGATCATGTGGATGGGAATCACGTTTCATAGACGGAGCCGGCCCACACTCCTTAACATGCCCAACAGCAGCATTCCAGTCTATCTAGTCTGGGAATCATGCGTATCAGACAGTTAGTGGGCCATAGCCCGTTCCACACTGGATGCATGGAATCACCCTTTGTGCTTAGCACGGTCACGAAGACCATGCACCTCGTCTCTTCTAACAAAGAACAGCTATCTCCTGGAGCGAGTATAATCGAGGTAGCGGTCTTTCGATAGGGAGGCACCTTGTCAATATTTCCATTCAGTGCGGCCACACGGGGGATATCATACAAACAACACAGACGATGGAAAAAAATAAACACGAAAAATAGATAGCAAACGTGCGGCAGAATGAAAGAACAGCGCAAAGTAATAAGTCTGACCTAGTGTAATAGTGATCTTTGGTAACTGTAATGGTAAGTCTATAAAAATATACCTAATAACACGAACCACGCCACAAAAAACTGGGATGAGTAACAGAACTGAGCAAATAGAACAACACTGAGTTCAGCCAAGTCTAGTGTGATGCGGAACAATCAACAACCAAACACACGTGTACAGAAGGATGTTAAAAGACCTGATGTGAACTGATAGTCAAGATGATTTGTGGCAGACACAACAGAAGGTAATTTCGTACCGGCACAACCTGAGAAGAGTAAGGGAAGAGGCCCCACTAGTAAGCCGGTACGTCACACCGATGCTTCCGAGGCCATACGACCACCATCAGGCTAGACGCACTGCGAAGTTGTGTGTACACATACACCGGGCTCGAACCGGCGACTTGTGTGTATTACAAAATAGACATGCTCAGACCACTTGGTTATCCACCAGCCAAAATACTTGGCCACTTGCTGACTACTTGAGAAGGATAGACATGGAGTGGATGGAAAACGGAACACTAGCGACAATGTGCTGTTGCCGGATAATAATACCGATTCCGAGAGAAAGAAGTTTTGCTCGGAACAAATTTTGGCGTTCTACTTAAATAATCTGGCACGTACGGCAGTGGGATAAATGAGGCTTGTTCGGGAAAGCTCATCCGGAGCCTCTGGCCCCATGAACTGGCTTAGAAAGCGACGAAGATCAAGTGTAGTCCATGGGCGCAAATAGAAGGTTCTGTCGGGTCCGATTGGGATGGGTCACAAGCAATCATAGCATTGAATAATTACTGTTTTTGACCGTATCGAACGACATAGCCGTGACTACGGTTAGCCACAAGCGGGAGTGGCCGGGCCCATAAAGTCCGTTGGTCAGTTGACACCTGGTTTAAGACAGACAGCGGGAAGCCTATTGAAAGCAGTTGTGCTATCCAGAGGCAACCCATGGCTCTTGTTTACTAAGCCAATCGAGCCGGGGCTATAAACCGTTCTTTGTTGGAACCCAGAGCTGAGAGTTGCAGGTAGGTCAGTAACATCTCTCGACTCTCCTACGAGAAAGCTTGAGGTTCGGCATCCAAGACCGCGGACCACAGAGGTCAATGATACGAGTGGTGCTAGAATTCCTTATAAACCGCCGTCTAGAATGGTTCATCAGAAATATCACATAACATCAGGGTTCAGTCTCGTTAGAATGAGTTGTGGTCACATGTACTCAGTGAATCACATTTAAAAATGGACAAACTAAACAAGCAAATTGATTTACCCAGTGTGGGTAGGTACTGCCGTCGGATCCTCGATTATCCTTGCAAACGGATTGTTGCCATTGCCCGTAGAACCAGCGTGTCCACAGCGAAGAGTTTCCCAGACAATTACTGGGCGGTAATGCTAACTAGGTGATTACATCAGCAACCAGTACTCGGGGAATAGAGTTAGTTCGACAGTATGCTAGTTCATTTTACCAAGCATGGCCATGTTAAACTAAATGGGTTAACGATAGCATATGAAATGAAAGAGCTGAGTTGGCTAGCCATCGGAGATGCTGTCCAAGGGACCCATCTAGCAGTTGGTTGGGAAGATTACAGGAGATAGAGAGCCTTTTGCGTACTCGTAGCTGGTCAGCGTGCACAATATTCAGTTAGGCATGAAAGGTAGGGAAGATAACGAGGCGGGATTTAGGGAAACCGCAGGGGAGCTGTCCAGATGATCACACTGCATCTTCACATTATAGTTCTCTGCTTGTGATGGTACAATGTCCTCAAAACGGATGCGCCAAGGATACGAATGCGTGTTTATCCCGTCAGGTACATACAGCCCGAGGTATCTATATTCAAACTTCATCAGCATAGTCACTTGTTTGATTCATGAAAGCAGGCACAGTGGTTACTTAACGTTGATGAGGAGGACAAATGTTGTTCAGCATTGATGTGCCGGAAAACGCTTCGGTGTCGATGAACGTAAGACCTTCTTAGAGCAGTTCGACTGTTGGGTTACCGGGAGGAATGTGCTGAGGACTGTAGATGTTACATTAATTGAGTAAGTTGTGGATTTTCCTTGTAGCGCTAACATCCTATTCACATTGGAATTGGACATGCCCATCACAGGATGGGCTAGTGAGGCCGACATGATAAATTACGAAGATAAAATAGATACACGACATGTTTAGAGATAATTTCGTAAACACGGGACTTAGTCTTGCTCAACAGACTCTGCCCCCCCGCGGTTCACTTGCAAATCAGTTGGCATCTACCAAAGTCTTTGAAAGGAGTGAAGATATCTTTATCCGCCGTCAGCACAATGATACGCGATGCAGAGGGGCGTCATTATTTCACATGGATCCGAAGGTCACCGTTGTTAGATCGAGCTCAGTTGGTACACAGGGCAAGCCAAATAGAGTAAACGTTTGTGCTATCAGACAAACACCGGTGGACCCTACGCGTGGTTGACGATGGACGCGCACCGTTTCGTCAGTTTCCGCCCAATTCGTTAGTATGCGGACGAGTGGCTAATAAGTGTAGAAGTAGAAAGGGCTAATCGGAGTGAGATGATCAAAGTGGTATGTCACCTACGCGATACACCTGGTTTGTTACAGATACATTGAGAACCGTAGAAATACGGGTCATATAACTTCACAATCAATCAGCCACACTGACAATAAGAGACTGATGTACGACAACAGCTGTGCGCGAGGAGGCTTGCGGCAACACCCACTGTAACCGAGGTCACTACGCTAGCTACTAAGAATAGTAGTCGAGCATGGCTATCGAAGACATGACCAGTGGGTGGCTATTTGGGATGCATAGTTAGGCAATCTAATTTAGCGTTGCGACTTGCTGTAATTAGGTAACATCGCTAATACGTGGTACGGGAGCACTGCTGTAACCCAAAAATCGGGATCGAACTTCAGGCAAGGAGTACAAATACGTCGGAACCATTGATCAGTACGACTGTCAGCCAGCTGTAGCGGTTGTGGTGGCGCTGGAGGAATAAGAAGAGAGGATGCGGCGACCGTTACTGTTAAGAGAATATGACTAAAAAGGGAATAGTATAAAAATAGTGATGGCACAGTTCTGACTGGTAAATGGTCTTTCGGTTTTGGGGACAGTACGATGGTGGTATCGAACGTTGCCGTAACAAGAGAATGTGTCGTTCAAGCGTAAGAAAAATTTAAAACGGAGAGGAAATTTGGCTTAAAAAGCAAGCAGTTTATAGAAGGCTAACACAAACAGGCACACCATCACACAAATATGATATAAAGGACCGACGTAGGTGGGAGATTTATGTGAGGATTCTTGAGGGACTGATATGTGGTTGCGAAAAAGATATTCCAGGACTCAGCCGGCAGCGAGGAATCATGCGGTGACGATGATCCGATTAATTTGCTAGCCAAATCTTGGTTTCGAATGGAAACTATTAGCCGGAAAAAATCTGATAGTATCCTTGCTACAATGAAGCAACCAGAGTTAATCAAGAACAGAAGCGAACGAAAGGTAATAGACAGACAAGTACCTCAAAGAACTTACTACGTGAGAGCTCCTTGTCGGATGGATCCCCAGCACTCTCAGACTTTTGCGGATCAGAGTTCAAAGATATAGCAGCATCAGTTTGGTTGACTAAGTTGGGAACGCCACGCGGTAAAGCATCAAATACCTCGTTCGGTATAGCCGGTCCTTGAATTGCAGTCTCTTCACGTTCGGCCATCTCAACCAGAAGCCGCATGTCGTCAAACCAAGCAGTATCTGACCCGTTCGTAAGAGGTTCTGCAGATCCCGGAGCGCGAACACAGGATGAATTGATGTGAACTTCGTAGCCTCCATCAACCGGCTGCAGTCCAAGAGAGTTCTTCCAAGGCATAACGAAACCATCCAAATATTTCGAAGTAACCATAGCCTGTCTGGAACAAAGAACACGATTTGATATGTGTAAGCCAACAACAAATCAGAGAAAAGCTGTCGAACCTCAAGTCGGTGAATAAGTAACTAATTGAAAGAAAGAGAGGGCTACCAAGGGGTTAGACGTGGGAAAATATGATTATATCGAAAAGTAGAAGTTGGCCAGAAACAAATAGCCAGGGTTGGCGATTCGGGAAATCGGAACACGACGTGTGATAACAGGCATGTTTGTAACAATCGCCCACGGCAGCAGTGAAGTGAAGAATGTTGAGTGGGTGGGTCAGTTAGCAGCACAGGAACACAGAATAATAAGATGGAATGGGCAGTGCCGTTCTGCGTGGCCTAGTAAGCCTCGCAGAGGATGTAAGGGCCATGCAGGTGATCATTATTATGCAAGCTAATACGGGTTACCAAATTAGAGAGGGGATCTCCAACGAACGACTACCGTCCTAAAAAATGCGTTATTTAAGCTAGGTATATTCTGACACTCACCAAGCCTTCGTGCTGTGGCGGAAGAATATTGTACACAGCCGATGTAAACAGCTAATATGAAACGGGCGAAAAAGTACATCACCGAAGAGGAAAGACAAGACATAAAATCCGTAGATGCAACCTAAGATATGCATGCTTCAGTATGAAGAATAAGCAAATTGCTCACTTTGGATTTGCATAAGTCAGAAGCGCAGTATTCGAAGCAGAGAATCGAATCAGCAACACAGTGCCCTCCTTCAGAGAACCGATTCGTTTCAATTCCCCCATAAAATCGTTCCGCAAGAATATGGCCATGAGTTTATCATTCGCAGCAACAGGGTTCTGAGAAGCGGCTTCGAATAGACACAGCTGCAGTTGTGCACAACTATCTATTGGACCGTAGCTGAACATAGCATCCAGCACAACTTTGCGCCGCGCATCCGGCGATATCTGTGGAAGTAGGCAGAAACCAATTACAGTTAGACTCTGCAACCCTCGTATGATACGTAGGTAACCGCACGAAGGTTAGTATGCAAAGACAATCCACAGCATACGGTCTCCGGAGAGAAAAGATGCAACGCCAAAAGGTTGAAAACAGTACACGAACGAAGAGACTGGACAACTGTTGATGAATTGACATCGCCCACATGCATCAGAGAAAACACGCTTATCACAAGTTTGGATAGACATTTTCGGCTTCGTAGGGACATTCCTAGCCCACGCTGGAGCTCATTAATGCAATCAGCGGTTGGTTTCATCATTGGGTTGGAGTCTACAAGAAGTGGTAATGTGGGACGCGGATCGAATGCGGAAACTGATTAATACCTTCATCGCTAGGTAATCATGTGGTTGCAGTTTCGACAGCCGGATTCGGCTTCCCAATTTGGATAAATCAAAGACCTGGCAAGGATCAGTGAAGCAAAAAAAGTACGGGTTCAATTCAATCGAGTAACCAAAAACAGTTTCGGCATTGAAGTGCGGTGGATTAAGTTGTCTTAACTGGCGATGCCATGATAACAATAATTAACAATGCGTAGGATAATGAGACAGAATGCGGAACGAATACAAGGAGAGTAGGGTAAGAAAATAGGAATCCTGGTAGAATTATAATGACCGGATGGCAAAAACCGAATACAGAAGCACCACTGACTGTGCGGTTGCGCCATGACGGATACAGTCTCTAACCACTAATGTGGCCTAACAAGAAGGAATTCATCCACCGATATCACACACATCAGCCTGACTAAAACTAAATTTATTCGGGTCTTTACGTGACACCATCAACCGGTCAACTAGCGGTTTCGCCAAACATGGTGCAGCCACAGCATGTAATTCACGCCGAGGAAGGCGATCGACAGGTATACAGAGGACACTATCAAACCAAAGGAAGTAGTTATATGTCAAGATAAACCAGCGAGAGATCAGAGGATTACTCCCGAAACACCAACCGGCGGACCTGAGCATTGGTCATCTGGTGTCCCAACAGCGTTGTACACCCGAACTTTGACTGACAGACCGATATTCCGTTGACAGTCGTCTCAGAAAAACCACGTTGGCTTCGGTGATACGTGAAATAACCATCTTAGCAATATCACGTCCAGAGGCGACATAACTGCTAAGGGAAGTGAACCGATCGACCAGTGGCTGTTCAGTGGTGTATCGTCTAACTCTTACAGAAGTAGTTTGCAATTTGTAGGCATGAGGCACATGCTGAAACGTGCAGAGTTACGTGTTAGACTATTCCGGAAGAGGTGGACAGGAGTGAAACATTTGGCATCATTCAGATCACAAAGCTGAGAAGACAAAGGGAAGTTAAGGTAAAGATGGGGTACCCCATTGGGCCTCGTCAGTAGCACGCACCCGCCGAATTCGAACCCACGACCTTACTCTTGCGAAACAGCGGACCGCCATGACTGATATCTAACTGCTGGTCTCCAGAGCAACGGCTTCCTTTGCAAGCCGCCACCAATCGAGGTGGCATGTAAGCTGCTAAGGCGACTACTGATTATTTGTAAGCAGCAGGGGGATTTATTAGGTTTCGTGGCCAGCCCTGTCCTCTGCATATTTATAAAATGCATGACAGTGGAGGATGAGCCGCGCTATATCGCAGTTAGATATCAGTCATGGCGGTCCGCTGCCGTCGCCCATGGATCAGTGACATAAGTCGCTGACTCGCAAGAGTAAAATCGTGGGTTCGAATCAGGCAGAATTCGGCGGCTGCGCGCTACTGACGAGTCCCAATAGGAAGAAACGGCCGTCTAGTGCTTTACTGGATGTGTGATGGCTGTCTGCCCGTGTTTAACTGCGACGAACCTACACGAAAACCTAATAAATCCCCCTACTACTTACAAACATGGGGTACCCCAGTTGTCGCAGGAAACAGTTTCGGTGGGTTTTGACTCTGCTGCTGGAGTCGCACGTTAGCTAGAAAGTATACCGCAATAAAATGCAATTGGTTGGTGGCAAGAAAAACAAAAATAAAACAAAAACAAATGAGAATATGTGTTTGATTATGAACTTTGGAGATTACGTGCGTATGAATGAGATGGTAGGAGGTGAAAAATAAGCGGCAGGTAAAGGGGCGAAAAACACACAACCCAACTTCTTTTTATAGTTAAATGCTCGTGTTTCTTGTTTTGACTGACAACAGTATTTGTAACCAAACTATTGACCACAATGAGATGATTACGTCGCTGGATTAGTGGTGAAATGCTCGCAATCAAATTGCCAAGAGGCAAAGACCACTCAAGAGCACCACACCGCTGGATAACCATTGTTCAGGGACCAAAGAATAGATTAAAAAATCCTGCTGGTCGCCAATTAGCGGGAGCCAAGTATTGAAGCAAAAATAGTAAAGCAAAGGCCCGCGTCATTCCAAAATCCGTGATATAATTGTGAAAAGGTTGTGGAGAAGAGCACGTTTTGGTGTCCATGATGGTGGTTGGTAAACGTGAAGAACGGAACGAATGAGAACGTGTCAGGGATATCTGGGATACTTATGGGATTGCACGCTGTTTTGATTGGCGTCGAAGACCCGTCTCGTTTCAGGGTTCACGGCGCCAAGGAGATTCATCTTCAAGGCTCCGGCATGTTTACCTGACAGTAACTGCTGTCTTTCTTACTTTTTCTGTAACTCACTAGATCACCCGATAAGGCTTGTAAGGTAGTACTTCTTAACCCTTATGAATTCAGTGCTCATTGTTCAAATAACAATTGGAATAAAGTGAAAATCCCAGAACATTAGGACGAAGGACGCGTCATGTAAGGGAATCGCTGTATCGATTTCGTTAAAGTTGTAACACAGACAACAAGCCAAGAACACATATTGATTAGAGTCGATCGACAAAAAGTGGGCGGTGCCACGTTTGCGCGGCTAAGTAGCTCTGACTGTGGTCCACTTGTGTGCAAAATGCACGTTGCCAAAGGTAACAGAGTGCAAACCGAGTGGTGGAAAGAGAAAACAGTCATTTGGCCAACCACACACACTCAATCGGAAGTGTAGAGCAGACCCGATCGTTGACTAGGAAACTATATACATATAGTTGTATGTAGTTGCGAGTCTGAGTACAGACCATGTGTTATCTGAACCGTGTCAGAAATGGAAGACAATCATAGAAAAATAAACAGGTATTACGTGTTTTACACGCGCCGTTTTTCTTTTCGATTGAACAGTAAATGTTCGACGATACAACGGAACAACATTGATGCCACTCATATCTGCTGCGGGCCATAACATCCAATGCTTCAAACAACTGAGAATCTGAGTCACACGGTCTCCATCTTGAAAGACGGATTGACCCGGCTGAATATAAGCAGGAATTAGCTTTTCTTATGCTTTTTCTCCAAGTCATTGACTGTTCACCGTGGCACTTTTCCTGAACACTTCCGGGAAGCACAAATAACATCCGACGGGAAAGGCGTTAGGCTGATGTGCGCAATATGTGGTCTAGCCAACGCGTGCGGTGTCGGAGGTAAGATTTCGGAGACAAGAAATGTTCACTTTAAGCACTCACTCTTGAACTTCTGTGTTGCCTAAGTGATGTTGTCAACACACACGATCAATCGTTCGCAGACAATGGTTATCAAAAGATGATAATCGATTCATGTCTTTTGAAGGAAGAAGCCAGGTATCACAGACTTACAAGGACACTATACGTAAGGGGGCATTGCACACTCTACCGTAATCCCCAACTTTTATGTGTGACTGGGTGATTACAAAATTGTCGGACACACCTTTCTTTAGTAAACAGTTCCACAACGCATACCTACACACGAAATCAAATGCCACTCGGGTGTTCAAAATCACTATGATTGTCGGTCGTCAGTGAAAATGGTAAAGATAAGTTGACGAAGCGTGAAGATTTGATCGATGTAACCTTGGCCTGCATGAAAACAGATCAGTTCCTCTTGGGAAAACTCTCTCTAATCGCTAAGAGCCTGCGAAGTAGGACGGACATAAGAACCATGGATACAACAAAGTTCGACGAAAAATCTGCAACGTTCGTGAGAGCCTTTACTGTGGAGCGTGAAAACGACTGACTATCCCTATGAGCTGGGGACCGGCTTGCCAATATAGATATCGTGAACAGTGTTAAGATTGCGTTGACAACTATATTCCCGCTCTATGATACTGCAAAGATTCGGATGTACTGCGGATCTCTGATGACAGGCTAAGCACCGTCCGAGAACAACAGAGGTGTCACAGAGGGCTGTGCTGGGTAATTAAATTGGGAGCAAAGTGTGATGGTCAGCGATCCAAGCGCATGTGAAGGTTTGTGATTTTTATGCCGTCTACCTCACGGACTGCCTAAGTGACAGTGTGTAAATTGCAGACGGTAACCCTAAGGGGGTAAAAGAAACCACGTCAGTTTCCAAACGATGCAGCCGCTTCCATCTCAGCAGCTCATTTTAACTACCGGGATCCACGGTCAAAGCGAAGGCTTGTCTTTAGCTGTTGAGAAATAGACCCGTGGAATTCTTTGTGTTGCCTGCCGGGGGTACAATTCATCGACAACACAGCAGTTTCGAGGATGTTGTCGAGAAAAGTAAGCTTTCTCGCTGACCGTAATTACATCAACCACATAGCTGCTCTTATTCAAGTGTTAGACAAGAGACACGAGCACGTGAACGACCATGATGGTTTTCCGTGACTTGAACTCTGCTTACGACTCTCCATTCGGTTTCTTGCACCTAGCCGTTCGTTTTCATTTTATCCAGATTAGCTTAACGCACTTCTTCCTTGATTCAATTTGCTATTTGCGTTCAACCTCACATCCTCACTATTGTTAATTATTGCTATTCTAACGACATGAATCATGCCGACCGGGTCTACCGCACTTCGGCTTAGTTGAACTGAGTGTCCATGAGGTGCGTGCTGGAAGCGCTACGAACAACTTATGCACAGAACATGTAGAAAAGAAAAAGGTGAACGAACTGTCGACGTAACGGAA